GTAGCACGTGAAAAGGAAGTGGAAACCATGATTGAAGGAATGGTGAAGGATGGTGTTATTGAACCTTCCTCTAGTCCATGGTGTTCACCAGTAGTGCTGGTGAAAAAGAAGGATGGCAGCATGCGGTTCTGTGTTGATTACCGCCGTCTGAACGACGTTACAAAGAAGGACAGCTATCCCTTGCCAAGAATTGATGACACGCTGGACATGCTTACAGGAGTAAAATGGTTTAGCACGCTGGATCTAAAAAGTGGCTACTGGCAAGTTGAAATTGACCCTAAGGACAAGGAGAAAACTGCGTTCTCGACGGGAAAGGGTCTGTGGCAATTCAAAGTAATGCCGTTTGGGTTGTGCAATGCTCCAGCAACGTTTGAAAGGCTGATGGAACTTGTACTTACCGGGCTAATTGGCGATGCCTGTCTGGTCTACTTGGATGACATCATCATCGTGGGCCGTACGTTTGAGGAACACCTTCAAAACCTGGAACGCGTGCTCATGAAGATTCAGAGTGCCAACCTCAAGTTGAGCCCGAAGAAATGTTCATTATTTCAACGGCAAGTTAACTTTTTGGGGTTTGTAGTATCGGAAGAAGGTATCCGCACAGATCCAGAGAAAATCGCCGCTGTCAAGGATTGGCCGGTTCCAAAAGACAAGACGCAGGTTAGAGCATTTTTGGGTTTGTGCTCCTATTACCGGCGATTCGTGAAGAACTTTGCAGATATAGCCAAACCTCTGCAAAAGCTAACCGAGGAGAAGCGACATTTCTGCTGGGATGAAAGTTGCAATATCGCATTCCAGGAGCTCAAGGACCGTCTGTGCAAAACACCTATTTTGGGATACCCTGATGCAAGCAAAGAATTTATAGTTGACACAGACGCAAGTGATATAGGACTCGGCGGTGTGTTGTCTCAACGGAATGGTGACCAAGAGGTCGTGATAGCGTACTTCAGCAAGTCGTTGTCAAAACCGGAAAGGAACTACTGTGTCACAAGACGCGAATTGCTAGCTGTGGTAAAGTCGTTGCAACATTTTAGCAAATATCTTCTGGGACGAAAATTTCACTTACGAACTGACCATGCTGCACTAAAATGGCTATTGCAGTTTAAAAACCCAGAAGGACAAGTTGCGAGGTGGATTGAACTACTGCAGGAATACGACTTTGAGATCGAACATCGCAGCGGGAAATCTCATGGCAACGCAGATGCATTGTCAAGAAGACCTTGTCCTGAAGATTGCAAAAATTGTACTAGGCAAGAGAGTAAGGAAGTGGTATCCGTGAGGATGCTCAGGGCAGACCACCTCAGCAACGAGTGGAAGGACAGCTTACTACATGCACAGCAGGAAGATCCGGACATCAAGCCGATTCTGGAATGGATAAAGGCCAGTGCTCCCAAGCCCAAGTGGAGTGACGTCTCAGCGATGAGTTCGACCACTAAAAGCTATTGGGCCCAGTGGGACAGCTTGCTGCTTCAGGATGGAGTTCTGTGTCGTAAATGGGAAAACGTTCGGGGAGACAGCTGTCATTTGCAAATGGTTGTCCCTAAAGTTAAAGTACCGGATGTTCTACAGCTGTACCATAATGATTGTTCAGGAGGCCATCTGGGAGTTAAACGAACTCTACTGAAGATCCGAGAACGGTTTTACTGGGTCCACTGTCGAAACGATGTCGAGGACTGGTGTCGCAAATGTACAAGTTGTGCGGCTGTAAAGGGACCTCAGACTCGTAGTAGAGTTGCATTGAAGTTGTACAATGTTGGTGCACCATGGGAGAGAATAGCCATTGACGTGGCGGGGCCGTTTCCGGAGAGTGAAAGCGGTAACAAGTATTTCATGGTTGTGATGGATTACTTCACTAAGTGGCCAGAAGTCTTCGCCATTCCAAATCAAGAAGCTTCAACAGTTGCAGATAAACTAGTTCATGAAGTCTTCTGTCGTTTTGGAGTACCTTTAGAGATTCACAGCGATCAAGGTAGGAATTTTGAGTCTCAAATATTCCAGGAAACTTGCCGAGTTATGGGTACTCATAAAACAAGAACGACTTCTTATCACCCGCAATCTGATGGAATGGTGGAACGATTTAATCAGACATTGGAGAGGTACCTAGCAAAAGTTGTAGACAATCGGCAACGAGATTGGGACAAGCACATACAACCGTTTTTGTTGTCATATCGAAGTTCTGTTCACGAAAGTACAGCAGTGACACCAGCTTCCGCAAACTTTGGAAGAGAATTACGGCTGCCTGCAGACCTGATCACCGGGATACCACCCGATGCTCCACGCAGTATAACCGATTATGCAAATGACTTGCGGAAAAAAATGAATGACGTTTATGAGCACGTCAGACAATCGGGCCAGCAAATGTCTGAAAAGATGAAAACCCGGTATGACCGCAAAATGAACAACAAAGGTTTCGACGAAGGTTCACTTGTGTGGTTGCACAATCCAGTCCGCAGCAAAGGGAAATCTCCTAAGCTTCAAGCTAAATGGGACGGCCCGTACCGGATTGTAACCAGGATCAACGATGTGACCTACCGGATACAGAAAGGCGCAAGAGGGACTCCTAAGATCGTCCATGTGGATCGCTTGGCGCGTTATTATGGGACCGATAATGCTCGGGACGAGCATGTCTTAGGAGGGGGCAGTGTTGCATGAATAAGTCAACTAGCGCCATCTAGTGTCAGGAACGAGAGCGAGGGGAGCATTGAGAAAATGACATCACAAATCGCTCAACTGACAGCGCCTAGTCGAAACTCGAACGCTCGATACCTTCCGCGTGTTTACTTGAACATTCTGGATATTTCTTTGCTAATTCAAATATATAGGCGCTGCAAGATGCGATCGAGGCAGTGTTGATTTGGGCGAAACAAGCGAAGCTTCGGAGTGGAATTAAGTGAATTAGCGTGTTTAAATTATTAGTGTTTTAACTTTGATTGTGTAAAGTGAATTAAAGTGTTAATTTAGGTAATTCTATCGGCAATTTTTATTGTCACGAACCTCAAGCTCGTAACAGTATTTTAGAGTTTATAGAGTTAAGGTGGTTTAAAAATGCAGTTACTTTGTCAGATGGTAAAATTGTGAAAGTGTCGTCTACGTACCGCTTGTAGAATCTTGGATTTACAGGAGCAGTAAGAAGGGCTTTCTCCTCAAAGTCCTCCATGAAAATGTTGCCAGATGTGAGGCAGTGTTTTTTTTTTCGCCAAATTATAACAACTTTAAATTTTGTATGGCAACAGACTTGCCATACAAAATTTAACGACGCAGGCTTTAAATATAACCAAGCCACCAACCTTGGCGAATCAATTAAAATCGTTCCGCAGTCTATGGAAGACTTTAGAAACATCACCAAACTTTTCACATCCGAAGGTGTGCCCTATCACACACCTACTCTCTCCCTGAAAAACGTAAAATCAGGGCTGTCCTCCGCGGAGTTCCCTTTAAACTCGGCAATAAGGAAATCCTGGAGGACCTTAAGTCCCAGGGATTCCCAGTTGAGGCTGTCCACAAGATACACAGCAACAGGGGCAAGAGGTACTCGCTTGCCCTCCTCCGACAGGTACACACTGTGTGCGGCCTGTCAAGAGTCAAAGTCGAAGCCCCCTATAGGCGCGGTTTTCCGGCGCAGTGTCACCGTTGCCAACTCTACGGGCATGCGGCGGCCAACTGTTCAGCCACTCCCAGGTGCGTTAAGTGCCTAGACCCGCACAGCTCGAAAGAAGGTCCTCGGCCTCGTGATACCGAGTTCCCACTCGCTTGCGTCCTTTGCGGACAGACTTGCCATACAGCCAACTTCAGAGGCTGCCCTCGTGCACCTCGCCCGGATCTCGGCAACAAAGCTGCCAAAAAAAGCCCCGCCACCGGTCAATGACCGTACATTCTCGGCCCTCCCATCCAAAATGCCCCCACAGGGCAAATCTCAGTCACCCCAGGACCTATATCGGCCCCCCTCAGGAACCCTACCGACCTCCTCACCTCCGCCCACTAGGGCCCCGACAACAGGCGGAACCCTCTTACGCCGATAACGTAGATACAGTATACACTGCTATCCGCAATATCGATATAAAAGAGATCGCAATTTTAGCACGCAAACTGCGCGCTTCTCAGTCCCCTCAGGACCGTTTGCTCGCGCTTACCGAGCATCAACACCTTCTGAACTCAATCTAATTAGTCATCCCATCCCATTCGTAAGCTGCCTTAATTAGGCAGCAACTCTTCCCAGCGGCTACTCGCCGCTAGCGCCCTCCTTTCACCCAAGGGGGGTCGCTCCGATACGGCACAAGAAAACTTAATCAGCCAGTTGCCAGTCCCTAAAGGCGGTTTTTAGAGGGTATCACTTAGGTTCCCCGGTAGGACGTGAGTCCCTCATAACCACGATAGACCGGCTATCGTGGTATGCGTAATGCATTTTCCGCCTTCCTACGTATAGGGTAGCCCTTTAATTGCTTCGGGCGCAAAAAAAAGTGCGTGCTTCATACAATATTTGGCTGTTGATGCGAATAAACGTGAGTGTTCGACCTTATTGACAGACAATAATTGATTTTAACAAATCGCGCTTATCAGCGCCACTTTTAGTCTGCTCTTACGTTTAATAATTTATTTTTAGATTTCTTTGGTTGTTATTTTATAAAACAGGTATTAGTTATTTTAGTAGTGTTTAAATATTTCTTAGTATTAGCTTAATTATAAATTAAACTTTTTTTATTTAGCTGTAGTTTTAAATAGGTACCTAGGTATCAAATAGGTTATTTCATTCTATTAGACGTAGTTTAGGTACCTACTTATATATTTTTAAGAATTTAATTTTGGATTTAAGGATTTATTTAGGATCCGTTTTATTATTTAAGTAGGCATTTAGATTTTTTTAAGTGTATGGTAGCTATAGTTAGGGCTTCTAACGTAGATTATTTTGTTAGGTAACTGAATGCCGTCTATTAAGAATAAAATCCACAATGCCACCTAAAAAACGATTATCCTTATCTTGAAATTCGAAAGAAGCTAAGACAATGAGAAATGTGCGTTCTCAAGAATCGGCAGAAGAAAGAGCACATCGGTTAAACTCTATGAGAGTTAGTGCCTCACCTTCTCGAGCCGATGAAAGCTCTCCAGAAAGAGAGATGCGATTAGCAGCTGACAGAGCGAGACGAGCTACATCACGGGCATCTCAAAGTTCTTCTCAACGAGGGCTAAGGCTTACCATTGACCGAGAACAACATGTGTTATCCCGAGAAGCTGAAACTGCTTCACAATGAGAATTACGGCTCACAGCTAACCGCGAACGGCATACATTATCTCGCGAGTCCCAAACCTACACTGAGAGGTAATTACGTCTCACAGCTGATCGCGAACGGCATGTACTATTCCGTGAGTCCGAAACCTGCACTGAGAGGGAATTACGTCTCACAGCTGATCACGAACGGCATGTACTATCCCGTGAGTCCGAAACCTACACTGAGAGGGAATTACGTCTCACAGCTGACTGCGAACGGCATATTTTATCTCGAGAATCTGAAACTTTTACTCAATATGAAGACCGTTTGACAAATGATAGGGTGCACCATAATATTATTCGATCTCTTGAAGATGAACATGAGCATGAACAACGACTAGAGTCGGGACGCGAATATTATAATTCTTTAAGACAAGAACGATTTATAAGTTTGTCTAATCAAAGATTAAGAATTGAAAATATTCGGTCTCTTGAAACGGACGAACAGCGAGAGGCCCGTCTTACTGAAGACAGATTTCGACATAGTCTTAATGACTTAGATGTACACATAGAAGATCAATCTACAAATTTGGTGGCGTGGTCCGACAAATATAAAAGTGGGTTTGCTAATAACCTCAATTGATTACAGGTCATCTTCTGTAATAGGCGATATGAACGTAGTATGTTCTTTTTGTAATGCTTCAAAGTGGAGTAAGGAGTCGGCTGGTTTCTGTTGTCCTGGGGTGAAATAAATTTGCCTTCGTTCGAAGATCCACCGGAACCTTTAAAGTCACTAATTTTAGGGGAACATGTGCAATCTAAACAGTTCTTAGACAATATTCGCACTTATAATAGTGCGTTTCAAATGACATCCTTTGGTGCTCAACAAATCTCAGAAGGTCCTTTCATGCCTACTTTTAAGATACAAGGTCAGGTTTACCATTTGATAGGATCCCTTTTGCCTGAAGACCAACCTAAGTTTCTTTAAATATATTTTGTATCCGACCACAAAGAACAGTCGAATATAAGAAATCAATATTTCCCGAATTTAAATACTGAACTTAGTTCACAACTTCAGAACATGTTGCATCAGGTTAATTCGTATGTATGCAGTTTTAAATCGGCATTAAAAGCTCTTCCTCAAGATGGTGATAACAATTATAAAATTGTTATAAATGCCGGTAGGCGTCCAACTCAGGAACACCCTGGGCATTCCAACATTCCATCCACGAATGAAGTTGCTGTAGTATTGGTCGACCAGGAATGTGGATGGCGTGATATCGTTATCCGTTCCAGAGACAATCGTTTGCAACGTATTTACGAAACCCACAGGGCTTACGACAGTTTGCAATATCTTTTGATATACTCTCGTGGGGAACATGTTTATAATTTCGCTTTATACGAAACTGATCCGCGTACAGGCGCACCTAATGATAATAAAAAGATGTCATGCCTTCAATTTTATTGTTACCACTTGCAAGTGAGACGGAATAGATTTGTATACTTTCAACGTTTTCGTGGCTTTTTCAATCAATCAATCAATTTCAATCAGTTTATTGTTGACATGTACGCGAAAATTGAAACCGAAAGATTAGTTTATATACGATCTAATCAAAGGCAGCTGCGCGCTAATGAAAAATGAAATACGGAATGAAGTGAATATGGGCTGTTTAGTTATTTTACCCTCTTCTTTTACTGGTGGTCCACGCTACATGCACGAACGTACTCAGGATGCTTTTTGTTACGTAAGAAAATATGGACGTCCCGACTTATTTATTACTGTAACTACCAATCTCAAGTGAAATCACTCGGGAGCTTATTGAGGGTCAAGCACCGCATGACCGCCATGATATTATCACAAGAGCCATAAAATTAAAATCAATGATAGATCAACTTACCAAAGATAACATTTTTGGAGATGTATTGTGTTATATTGTTACGAGCTTGAGGTTCGTGACAATAAAAATTGCCGATAGAATTACCTAAATTAACACTTTAATTCACTTTACACTAATTAAAGTTAAAAACACAAATAATTAATCACACTAATTAACTTTATTCCGCTCCGAAGCTTCGCTCGTCTCGCCAACTTCAATACTTCCCCGATCGCATCTTGCAGCGCCTATTTATACAAATTAGCAGCGAAATATCCAGAATATTCAAGTAAACACGCGCAAGGTACCGAGAGTTCATATTTCAACTTCAAGAAGTTTACTTCTTCGGTTCGAGATTAGATGGCGCTAGTGCCGTCGACTTGAGCGCGTAACAATATGTATAGTATTGAGTGGCAATTACGCGGCTAACCTCACACACATATCCTGCTTTGGTTAAAGGATAAGGTTCGACCTAATGATGTAGATAGTTCAATCAGTGCTAAAATTCCAGATTCAATTGCAGATCCCGTGTTATACGACATTATGAAAACTTATATGATACATGATCCATGTGGTGCATTTAACGGGAATGCTTGCATGCAAGACGGTCGTTGCACTTAAAGATATCCAAAAGCATTAGTGGATGAAACTGTAACAGGACATGATGGATACCCATTACATCGTCGCCGTTCAAAAGACAAATGGTGGTTTTACTGTTGAAAAGCGAGTGTCTGGATAACAGGTTACTTTAGATAATAGGTAGGTCGTTCCGTATTCGCCTGTGTTGTCTAGAGCATTTCAAGCTCACATAAATGTTGAAATGTGTGTCTAGAGCATTTCAAGCTCACATAAATGTCAATAAATTATATTTGTAAGTATATTAACAAGGGCAGTGATCAAGCTACATTTGCGTTGAGAAGTGAACATGATGAAGTTACTAGATTTCAGTCAGGCAGATATATCAGCTCTTCAGAAGCTGTGTGGCGGATCTTAAGTTTCAACATTCACGAAAGATATCCACCTGTGACTCATCTGGATGTTCATCTTGAAGGCGGTCAACGTATATATTTCAACGCCGAAAATGTTACAGAACCAATAGAGAACCCTAGACAAACAACTATATTAGCATTATTTCGACTTTGCCAAACTGACGATTTTGCAAAATCTCTTTTGTATGAGGAAGTTCCATCGTATTATACCTACGATAAGCAACGAGGTGTCTTTAATCGTAGACACCGTGGCAGGCCTGTAGATGCCGAGTCAGGTATTTTCAAAGAACATGTTCTTGGTAAAGTGTATACCGTTCATCCTAACAAGGCTGAGTGTTTCTATTTGCGATTATTATTACATACAGTGCAAGGACCAACATCATTTACGGATTTGAGAAAAGTAGACGATGTTTTTTATCCAACTTATCATGCAGCTTGCCAAGCGCGTCGTTTGCTTGAAAATGATCAGAATTGGGATGACGCTTTAGCAGAATCCTGTGTTAGTGATAATCCACGACGGTTACGCCATTTATTTGTAACATTACTCACATTTTGTAATTTGTCAGATGCTGTACAATTATCGGATAAATATAAAGAAAAATTTGCAGAAGACTCAAGAAGAATGATGAAGGCGCAACTAATGATAATTTCCGTGATCTTGCCATAAATCTGTGCTTATTAGCTCTTCAGGAAGACTTAACAGCAGTAGGCGGTATCTTACTCTGTGAATATGGTTTGTCAACACCAACCTCAGTCGGAGAGGTTACTAATAGGGAATATTCTGCAGAGATTAGTTACAACTGCATGGAACTGCTGGCAACTGGCTGGCCTATGATCGCGTGTGCGAGAGTTTTCAGAAAAATTTGGAAACAATATGGTTTTAAGATGCACCTGGAGGAACTGGGAAAACCTTTTTTGACTAAATTGATATTAGTTTATGTTCGAAATCAGCGTAAAATTGCTTTTGCCGTGGCTTCATCAGGTATAGCTGCAACATTGCTACCAGGAGGTAAAACTGCTCACACTATGTTTAAAATACCAATTGATTTAGATCGCACGGAAAGTCCAACCTGTAGTATTTCAAGAAATAGCGACAAAGCTAAGGTATTACGTGAGTGTAATTTAATCATATGGGATAAATGTACGATGGCCCACCGAAAAGGAGTAGAAGCGGTAGACAGAACTTTAAGGGATGTGAGGCAAAATAATCGACCGATGGGCGGTATCACGGTTTTATTTTGTGGTGATTTCCGACAAACCCTACCGGTAATACCACGAGGAACCTGAGCTTTTTAGGGCTTGCCTAAAAAGCTCTTATTTGTGGCGTGATATACAATCGGTACATTTGACTATAAACATGCGAGTGAGAACTGGAGACGGAACGCGTATTCTGGGGGAGAAAATTCCGCTGAAGACTACAACTGCTCGGGGCAAACAGAGCAACAAGACCAAGGCGATCCCTGCCACGCTGTCTGTGAATTTCTGCAATATGGACTTCACTCTAACCTAAACGCCGTCCACTACCATCTCGAGACGGCGAGGCCGGCTCTGCTCTTTCTGACCGAGACGCAGGTGTCCTCTCCGGCTGATGTCTCGTATCTCTCCTACCCGGGGTACAAACTGGAACACTCCTTTGTGCCTCGGGCTGGAGTTTGCGTTTACGTCAGAGAGGACATCTGTTCTTGACGCCTCGGCAGACTTGAAGGTTTGGACCTGTCCATCCTTTGGCTATGCGTAGACAGCAATGACAATTCACGTGTCTACGGGTGCCTCTATAGGTCCCATAGCGGTAACGCCGAAACAGACCGACTCTTCGACTACATCCAAATGGCTGCAGATTCGTTGCTACAGCAGATCCCCTTCGCAGAGATCGTGATCCTCGGCGACTTTAACGCCCATCACGCCGAATGGCTTGGTTCACGTTTAACCGATCATGCGGGTAGATCTGTTCGTAATTTTGCCTTGGCATATGGTCTGACACAACTGGTTACTTCGCCTACGCGGATTCCAGATGTGGAGGATCATGCATCTTCCCTGTTGGACCTTCTGCTGACCTCTCACCCGGACTGATATCAGATTTCCGTCGACGCCCCTTTAGGCTCCTCGGACCATTGTCTTGTACGGAGTGTGGTGCCACTCGGGCTGAAATCGCATTTGCTTTCTGCAGGCTGCTGCCGTGT